GTCTCCTGCCTCAGCCTCCCAAGTAGCTAGGACCACAGGCGCCTGCCACAACGCCTGGCTATTTTTTGGTTGCAGCCATCATTGTTGTTTTGGTGGGCTCAGGCTGGATTTGAACCCACTACCTTAGGTGTATGTGGCTGGTGCCTTAGCCACTTGAGCCACAGGTGCTGAGCTCTGAGTCCAAGAATTTGGTGTCGCTGTGAGCTATGAGGCCAATACTCTCTACAGAGGGCAAGAGAGTAAGACTTGTATAAAAAAAAAAACAAAAGCCATGCCATATTCCTGGGAATATCAAATGAAATAATGCACGTGAAAGTATAAAATTATAACTCTAGTATATGAAAGATGTTCTGCAATCCTTCACAGCTATAAGCTAAAGGCCCATCTCTACTTCACAAATTGCAACCAATTAAACAATAAGAAACCAGTTATGGCCAAACTTAAAAACTGATTTTAGGATGGACATAGCAGCTCACGCCTGTAATAAGAGACTGAGGTGGGTAGACTGCTTCAGCTCACAAGTTGCTATGACCTATGATGATGCCAATGGCACTCTACCAAGAGTGACTGAGACTGTCTCAAAAAAAGCAAAAAAAAAAAATGTATTTTAACATGAAAAATAATTATGGCTCCTACTTTTACCTAAGTAGTATCACATGTTATAGTTCACTTTAATCTTAATGTATCCCATAAGATTCTGAAAACAAGGCATTATTAAAAAAATAGTCCATAAATTAAGAAAAAAGCAGCCAAAGAAAGACTCCAAGATGACCTAGACATTGTATTACAGAAAATGTTTTTAATCCAGCTATTATAAAAAAAAATTCATGACAACAGGGAAAACTGTGTTCTTAATAAGTTGAATTTAATGAGAAATTTCAGGAGAGAGGGGGGAACGAATTTCAAAAAATGGAAACTCTAGAACAGCAGATCTCAACATTTCTAATGCTGGGACCCTTTAATACAGTTTCTTAAGTTGTGGTGACCTGCAACCATAAAATTATTTTCATTGCTACTCCGTAACTATAATTTTGCTACTGCTATGAATTATAATGTGTTTTCTGATGGTCTTAGGCGATGCATTCTCAACCCCCAATGGGGTCGCGACCCACAGGTTGAGAACTGCTGCTCTAGAATATAGCATCTAAAATAAAAAATTCAATATACAGTCCTATCAGCAGATTGGAGATAACAAAAAACACCAATCGACTTGAATATGAACCAAAATCTACAGCAATTATCTAATACGAAAAACAATGACAGACTGAAGAAAATGAGTGCCTTTCAGTGTCATCAAGCAATCTAATATATATCTGAAATTGAAATTTCAAAAGACAAAAGGAAAAGGTGGAAAAGAAAATCTTTTCTTGGCTCCGTGCCTATAGCTCAACCGGCTAAGATTTT